CACACTCCTCAGGGGATTCCTCATCACCTGATTCCAGTCTGGAACCACCTCAACAGTCTCCCTCCTCTGCTTCCTCTTCCTCTGTGTTCTTTAGCCCAACGGTAAGTGGGAGCTTAGAGTCTACCTCCACGGCATCTTCTTCAAGTGGTGGTAATGGTTTAGCTAATAGTTCTGCACCAGTGACAGCAAATGCTACTTTGGTCAAGGACCTTTCACCGCCAGCTGCGAGTGCCACAAGGTTCATCTCTACTGCGATGGTGCCTGTGTCTTCAGCAACCCCTTCCCCTCCAACTTCTTCTGTCATGTAAGCCAACTGAAGGATTATGCCCATCTAATCTAAGCAATTAATTTGTTCTTTTGAAATATGATTATCTGTATACAGTAATGGAATTACCCATATATTTATCTAGAAATGTGTTATGTACAATGTGTAATAATGATGATTAAAGAAACTAATAACAGGTACTTCAATCAAATATACATATTTCAATCAAACTGTTATTAGAATGCAGGATTACTGTATTATAGCAGGGAGATTAAAAGTCTGAGCCATGAAATTATATGAGTGTAGTAGGTTGAAAGAGTGTTCACATTGCAGTTAGGCTAAGAGATGCAAACAAAGGCTCTGTGAAGCTTTACTAGAATCATGAGTAACTTTTTACAAGCAAAAGTATTTGAAGATGCTCCTGTGTCCATTTGTGATATAAAAATGAAAGACAAACTGAAGGGAGAAATCTTAGATTTACAGTCCCTTTGTAGCCCATGATCCTTATTGATGTATAACATATGTAACCTACACACACACACACACACACACGCACCTACACACACGCACGCACCTACACACACGCATGCGCCTACACACATACACACGCACCTACACACGCACGCACACACACACACACAAACACACCTACATACATCTACATACATCTACACATGCACCAACACCTATACATACATCAACACACATACACATATACCTACCCACATACACACATACATATATACACACATACATATATACACACATACATATATACACACATACATATATACACACATACATATATATACACATACATATATACACACATACATATATACACACATACATATATACACACATACATATATACACACATACATATATACACACATACATATATACACACATACATATATACACACATACATATATACACATACATACATACACACATATATATTCACATACATATATACACATACATATATACACATACATATATACACACACACATACACACGCACATGCACACGCACACGCACACATTCATACACGCACAAATATATACATGCATGCATACATGCATGTATACATACATACATACATGCATACATACATACATACATACATACATACATACACACATACAAACACACATGCACACGCACATGCACATGCACACGCACACGCACACGCACACGCACACACACATACACATATACACACATACACAAACAAAATCTCATTCAGTATATTGTTACAGTCATGAATGGATAGAAGCACATTTTATGGATTAGATTTCTTGTCAAGGAAATACCAGTACCCAGCCTAACATTTTAGGTCAGTGGAGTCTCCAAATCATGTCAAAGAGAAGCAAAAATAAGTGTTTTGCTCTATACTAAGTGTTTGTAAAGGAAAGTAAATGAATCTGATATTTTGAAGGCTGAAATTTGAAATAAATTGAATGAATTATTTGCTCCTGCTTTGTAATTATATAAAGGCGCACAAGCATCAGAAATATCTGAACTTATAGAAGAGATAACATTGACCTAGAAAACTGCAAATAACTGTGCCAACTATAGCTCTTTGGCTCAATTGGTATTTGGCCCCAGAATATTTGTATTTCTTGAGAAAAAAAAAGAAAAAAAAAGAAAAACATTCTTTGGATATGGAAGCTTGCTAATAGAAGTAGTTTTACTTTTGAATCTTCCTTGTAAATAATCATTGTGATATTGGATAAGGAGGTTCGAGTCAGCTATTATAGGGAATTTTATTAAGAGATTTTACATGTAGCCATAGAGACCACTCTTTCTCTCTTGATACAAAGCAGTTTTATGTAAGAAGGGTTTCATTGATATTGCAGACATCACAAATCATATATTGCATATGTGTTACAATCATCAGAGTTCCAATTGTATGGGGCTTCGTTGAAATAATAGGTCATTGAATGTATTAGTGTCAAGTTTGTATTTTAATCATCTGTCCACATGTTAATGAATAACCTTCACATCTTGTTGGGCTGGGTAGCTTACTCAAAACAACCTCTAGGGCACACAGAAACACATTTATGGGAAACTTCCCCATGGGTCTGTGGATAACTAAATGGGAGAATGGGGTTATGGGCACAATTAGACTTAAAGGCAGATGCTGTTTTGAAGGGTGTCCACAGACCTATTATCTTTCATATATTTTTGTCAGTCTTATAGTGTATACTTGACATAAGCTTTGCCAGTGTTGCAGCAATAACTAGGCTCGAGAGTCCCAGCATGGGCTCAGCACTGTAATGACATGCGGATCTAGTAAATTTGTCTTATTTTCTCATGTGATGCAGTGGAAGGCATAATTAAAATTTAAATTGATTATGTGAGGGAGTAAGTAGGTTCAGATATTGATATACTGACAATATCAGACTGTGCTCTGGGGATACCCAAAGAAGTCCTCGAAGAAGTCTCTTGCATTATTTTCACAGTAGTGTGATTCATCATGAAGGAAACTAAATTATGCCCAGTGGAGAAACCTTGAAATACCAGTTTCCATGTATTACACTGTTGATGATATGGGACATACCTTTTAGGTATTGCAATTGGAAGAGGAATTTGTTTAATTACTTGTATGCTAATTATTGATAATTTGAGTGCTGGTGCCCTGGGCTGGTGACGAGCAAAACTAGGCTTCTTCGGAAAGGGTTGTAGCTTAACTCACTGTGATAACTATTGCATGGTAATGTGATTTCTGTATTACTTATTAATCCTTTCATAATGGAGCTAATCTCTGGAAGAGTAAAAAGAACAAAGAATATATGTTCTGTCACCTTTCTCACCACCTCATGGGCTGGCAAGGGAAACTACAGCCATATTGTCCAAATGGTTTAGCCATAATGTTTCTTCAGATTCACAACTTAAAGACCACTTGCACATTATGGCAGTGGTTGCCATGCCAACTCCTCCTCCTCCTCCTCCTCCTTCTCCTTCTCCTCCTCCTCCTCCTCCTCCTCCTCCTCCTCCTCCTTCTTCTTCTTCTTCTTCTTCTTCTTCTTGAAGAAGCTTAGTGATAATGATTAATCATCCCTTACATACTTTATCACAAAAGCATGCAGTGCTTGCGTGTGACACTTCGTTAACTTCAATTGTTCTGTGTGGAGAGAACGTGCCAATGTTACTATAGCTCCATCAGTGAGTTTGCACTCTTCTCCCATGTATTGTTATTCTGAATGTACTGTATTTGCATCTTGATTTTTAAAGGTATTGTTTTTGTTTCATTCCTGAATATTTGTTTTGAATGATGAACTATGATGATCTGAGTTTAAATGGTGTTCCAAGACTGTGGACAAGCCACTGAGGTTGAGCTTTGTGCTATTTGTTGATGTTCTAGTCTATTACAGATTTTTTTTTTTTTTTGCAGAGAGTATTGCACTTGTTTTATGTATTACTCAAGCTATTATTTTCATTTGGTGCAACAAAACTGCATCAGGAAACACCAGTAATACTATTTCTTAGTATATATACACACAAAGTGAATGTAGTTGTTGCTTTAAGAAAGTTTGGAATAGATTTGCTTTATAGGTATTGTTTATGGAAAACATCCTGCTTATTTTACAAGGTTGTTGAATATACATATAATACATATTTTTTTTAGGGAGAAAGGGGACTATGTTTCTTTTTGTTTCTTCAAGTGCCTCTTTATTTTTACCCCCATTCCTTTATATTTTCAGTTTCACTTTTCTCTTTTCTCTTGTGCTAATCATAGTATTTGGAACTGTTGTCTTTAGTCTGGTAGGTTTTTGTGCCTTTCATTCCCTAATAAGTTCACAAAACAGTGGGACATTGTCAGCCACTACAGGGGAACCTAGACCGAGTTCCTGCTGGTTCATTGTAGGATAACTTGACAACTTGCAGCAAGACCTGTACACGTTCACTGTGAGAATGGCATGTCGGGAGCTCCTCTTCTTGTTTGCAATGTTCCAGAAGAGGAGCCCTCATTCGGGTATGGAAATGCCTGCATGTCATGATCAAGTTGCCTTTCTGTGCCTCACCCTTGGGGGGATTCATTATTATATTGAGATGGTACATGATGAGCAGTTGTCTGCATCATCACTGCAGTTATTATTTCTTGACAAATTCTCTTCAGCATTTTTGACTTGTTATGCATCTAAATAAGATGCATCTAAATAAGATTTTGTATGGATATTTGAATTGTAACTTCCATAGCCCCAGTATTGTATACAAAGGAGAATATAGTTATCACATGCTTATATTGTGTTTAGGATTGGCAAAGAGCTGTATAGAACCATTGGTGATGCTTTAATACCAGCTGTGTTTTGCTGGGCCGATGGTGCTGATCCTTCATACATTTTGTAGAGAGTGTGAAATAAGGTGTGGTTGGTATAGAAATCATATTTTATTTATTCATGTATTTTACTTTTTTATCAGACTGATGGGTAACAAAGTACACATGTGAATGAGAGAGGCTGGGATGATGAAGTCAGTCTGATAAAGAATTTTGTGTTTAGATTATTAGTAAGTATTTTATATAGGGATGTGAAGCATTTCAATGAACAGATCCATTTGATTATTGTAAACTATACTTCAGAGGCATTTGTATTATTGTAATGCTGTAAAAAGATCACAGTGGCTACCACTTCTCCTTTATTGAGCATTTGTGCACATCTACATGTGCAAAAAAATAAAAGAAAAAATACTAACAGAAAAGAGAAAGAGAACAAAACATAAAAGAAACTTTTTTGGCCATGATCCAAGAAAAAGAATAGTTTGATTTTTTCAATTTTGTACTTGAATGTATCTCAAGGAAGTGTACAGACACTCCAATATATGTTAGAACTCTATTGCAATGGGTGAATTGAACCAGCACAATCTCAGGGTCTTTGTTTGCTCCTTTGAATCCTGTGCTGAGTGAGTGTAATAATCCAAGTCTAGTATCGGCAATATGTATTTAATTTTTTTTTTATGATTCTGGATATTTGATGGGTTTATTTGACAAATATCTATTGGCTCTATTATTATTTTGGATCATTGTTTTTATTTATGTTAATAGTCCTTGAAATATTATTTTAGCTATTATATGATGCTGTAGATTTAATGTAATTATCATTATTATCGTAAATGTTGTGGATGTTGTTATTGTTACAGTCTTTGACAATATTATTATAACTTTTATTATTATTATTATTATTATTATTATTATTATTATTATTATTATTATTATTATTGTTATTGTTATCATCATCATAACTATCATTATCTCCATCATTTTTATTATTATTATTATTATTGATTATTATTAACTAGCAATTATTTTCAGTATTGCTGATATTGTTTTGTCATTATTTTCACAAGTATCATCACTAGTGCTGTGGATTCCTGTTTTTCATTGTCTTCTTCTTTTTATCATTATTTATTACATTATTTTGATTTGCTAGTATTAACTGCTGTTTACCTCAAGGTTTAAAATTAGCATTATGATATATACTATAAATTGAAAGGTCAAGGTCACAGGGCAAAATGAAGTGCCTCCAATGATAACAGTTGATGTATGGAGGGTGAAGAGAAATTATATCTATTATTATTTTATCTATTTATTTATTTTGTAACAGATGTAGGAATGTTGCTTTTTCCACATTTTACATACAGTACTGTGCTAACTTTTGAGAGGTTGAAATTGCTCTGTGACTTGACTCTTCTCAAGCACTGATTAGTCACTGACGTCTAGAACTTTTTAAAGATGTTTTTCGAGTAATTAAGTGTTGAGATTGCTCACAATTTAATGAGAGGGGGGGTTGACATCAGTGGCATGTACAGGAAAGTGCATTAAGAGGATGACTTTACTCTTTGGATAAGGATTTTGATATTGTATAATGCATGATGTTGAAGTGTGTTCTTAAAAGTGCTGTACCAGAGCAAAGGAGAAATTTTGTGTAATTATTTTGTCTAGCATGATCATGGTTTTACCATGCTAATGTCTTATGTTGTAGTAAGTAAAAAAAAAGAAAAAAAAAGATTGCTTCTACATGTAGTATGAATTTAGAATCTTAGTTTGTTACCTGTATGCTAGATGCTGTGAAAATTGTAAGCATTCCCAATGTATGACAGATTAGTTGGTTGAAATATTTCTTCCTGAATGGTAGTCACATAGTGTGATATTGTTGGCTTACAAAATATGTGTTTGCTTAGCATTTCAGTGCTGTAATGACTGGATGAAGCAGGTGATCAGTTTGTCCAGAATTGATACTCAATTATTTTAGGTGGCCAGTGAGAATTGAAGAGTCATGTAGAAAAGTCTTTGATAACTGGATGATGTCGACCCCCTGTATATACTCGCGTGGGTTTAGGGAGCACATGGTAATCAGGTCCATTAGTGTGTATATAGGATTTTTAAATTATTGTTATTTTGCCATAAGGAAGTATTACTATCTATATAATATTTATCATATCTTGTATAATATGCTATTTAGGATACGCAATGCTGATATGTGACACTAAACATGACAATACTGATAACTTGTTCATCACTGCGTGTCGGGCTGGACCAAGCTGTGGTTCTTTAAGGTCTACCTACCAATTCTGTAGTTTGTGTAACTCTTCCTTAAAGCCACCCAGGGTTAGCATTTTATTGTCATTAGGAGAGTCTAATCATGACAATCAACCTTGGTCCACATAGATACAAGTCAGATGGGTGCCCTATAGAATATTAGGAGGAATGTCCCATAGGGAAGCAGTAATTTGGAGCTGTTAAAAAAAAATATATAGAAAGGAAAGTCTTATATAAATTTGCACAGAATGTCATCTTCCTAATTGAATCTTGTTGATATTCTTTAGCCCAAAATTAGGGTGTATGCACGAATTGCTCAAAGATATTTATGTCGTTATTGCCTGTCTTACATGGCCAAAAGGAATTGATATGCATTACTGATCTGTGTAGTTTAGAATGGATTGTAACTCAATGATTCTTGCATAATTTTTGCAAGATCCAGCATTTTATTTTTGTTAGGTCAGTGTAACCCTCATGTTAAGCACTGTTGGTCATTTAACACTGTACCAGCACTGGATGCACTGTGCATTATTATTTTTTCAGGCCAGATATTGAAATATGTTGCTCCCTTAGTCAGCAAAACAGATCTTTTGCTGAAAATCTTCATGTGTGAAGTTCTAAAAAAAACAAGAAAAAAAAGAAAAAAAAAATTGACATTAGTTTTTTAACTGGAAATGTTTGTGGTATGATTTATGAAGTTACAGCAAGTGGTTAAGATAATTTTTAGAACTTTTTACTTTTTTGCTTTTACTATATAATTTTAGTTATTACTTTCCTGTGAATTTTGCTTCCAGTGATCATATTACAACTATCCTTTTGTGAACATGATACTGTTTACCACTCTTTCCTTCTCCCTTCCTCCATTCGCATCTTTGATTTAGTTTCAGACCTTACCTTCTGTTTTCCCCAATTCTCTCTGACCTCATTCTGTCCCCCATTTTATTTATTTTGTTCTCACCCTTGTTTTAAGGTTCTTGCTTTCTATTTTTTCAGTTTGAAATGAAGCAGTTGCAACATACATATCAAATATAAGGAAAGTAAAACTTCATGTCAAAGTAATTAGGCTTTTCAGTCAATGATTGTTCCTTATTTAATGAAGAGTGATTCTGGGTATTAAGTGTGACTCTTTTGACTCCATTAATTTGGGACCAAAGTTGGCCAGTGGATTGGAGGCTAATCAAAGATATATTTTATCCTTTTTTCCCCTATACAACTCTCTTATGAAAGGGAATTCTCAAGAAACACAATATTTCATCAGGGTTACCACAATAGGCAATTTTTTGCAGAATCTTCTGAAATTCCTAGATGGGAGACATATCTTTATCTGGCCTGGAATGCTATGGTTGTGATGAATCCCTTTTCTTGTTAGTGGGAAGCACCATCTCCCAGCTTCATAGATTATTTGTAGCTTCATCATTTAAAGAGGGACTGTGTATATTGCTTCACAAAGTTCCTTATTTATGACATGTCTGTGATGATCAGTTTGACTATGTCCTAGTATTAATTGAGTTGCACAAAAGAAAGAGAGAGATGAATTATAATAAAGCATCTGTACTATAAAAAGTTTGGGGAAAATGAATATTAAGAAATATTTAATTTTTTATCGTAGTACTCCCTTTCTCAAGTCTGACACTGATATATGTGTGTGTCTATATATATATATATATATATATATATATATATATATATATATATATATATATATATATATATATATATATATATATATATATATATGTATGTATGTATGTATGTATATGTGTGTGTGTGTGTGTATAATTTTTTTTCCCTTTTTTGTTTTGTTTTGTTTTCTTTTCTTTTCTTCTTTTCTTTTCTTTTCTTTTCTTTTCTTTTCTTTTCTTTTCTTTTCTTTTCTTTTCTTTTCTTTTCTTTTCTTTTCTTTTCTTTTCTTTTCTTTTCTTTTCTTTTCTTTTCTTTTCTTTTCTTTTCTTTTCTTTTCTTTTCTTTTCTTTTCTTTTCTTTTCTTTTCTTTTCTTTTCTTTCTTCTCTCTTTCTCTTTTCTCTTTTCTCTTTTCTTTTCTCTTCTCTTCTCTTCTCTTCTCTTCTCTTCTCTTCTCTTCTCTCCTCTCCTCTCCTCTCCTCTCCTCTCCTCTCCTCTCCTCTCCTCTCCTCTCCTCTCCTCTCCTCTCCTCTCCTCTCCTCTCCTCTCCTCTCCTCTCTTCTTCTCTTCTCTTCTCTTCTCTTCTCTTTTCTTTTTTGGCAACAAGAGAGTTCTTAAAATACTCCCATGTTGTTGACGAATGACGGCATAAGAGTCTCATATGTCAGTTATTCTGATTAATGGTCTAATACTTAAAGTTTTAGGTGATGCATTACACATAGTTCAAGACTTGTATTATTGTGTGACAAATCAGCTTTTTCTGGCTATCTTTTAACAATCCCTTGAGATGGTGCTACCTTATTATTGTTGTTCACTGCACTGTGTAGCGAGGGGAACTAATCTCCTACCAAGTACAGATATCACTGCTCTCTCTCATACATCAACTCAAATTCACTGCTTTACCGTCCATTGAAGGTGAACTTTACTATCAAAGATGACATGATCCAAAGTTACAAAAGAATGGAAAGGAAAACAATTGATGAAATTGGTTTGAAGAAGCCACTTAATGGAAGTGTTATTCCCTCTTAAAAAGGCTTCATGTTTTAGATGATTAATTTTAAGATTCTGTTTCATTTTCAGTGCACCCAGCATGAAAATACTTTATTGATTTTTTACTCTTATTGTCGGACAGTCTATAACCTCAATATACCAAATAACAAACATATATTAGAATTAGATGCCATACTATGGAGCTTAATTTTTCTATTCTGTTGATTAATGCTGCCATTTCCTACTCCAATAAGTATAAAAGTATTAATTACTCTTTACCTTTATCCAAAGTCCAGTAAGGTTAACTTGGTCAGTTGCTAGAAATCCATTCAGATTGCTTAGTAGTCTCTTGTTGTTTAAAGGATTGTATATGATGAAATTTAATGTTTATGATGCATGGGGATTAAGGGTTCACTATTCAATCAGTAATACAGGAAGTGATGTTTATTCAAACTCTTCAAAAAGTTAGAAGTTGCTGGTGATGTCACTCTCTGCTTGCTAGTTCCTTAAGGTGGCCGCTTCCCCATTACACTTACTTGTGGCCTTCTGTGTGAAGTGTTCGTAGCTCGCAAACT